AAAGATCGTGCCTTACGAATATAGAAAAAAATTATTATAGGTGCACTAAAAAAGGTGTTTAGTTAACGACCGTCTGGAGGCGGTTCAGCCTACTAGAGGGTTAATAGGTGGCAACCGTTCTCAGAAAAATAATACATTATTGCACATATAGAAGCTAAGTCTTTCCCTTTGACAGTGACGGGGCAGAACTGATGCCTACGCTTATTATGATTGGAAATAGCGATTTTAATAACAGGTGGCAACCCTATTAAAAAAAATATATTAATGCTTTTCTAGAGGCCAATCCCTTTCATTTGACACCTCATCTATTGTATCCAACGAATGGTGCGGATCCTATAGTTTTTTAGGCTGGTGGCAACCCTATAAAAATTCTAAGTCAAAGAAGATGCCTCTCCTGTCGATACAGAGTATAGTAGAGAAAATCTCGTCAAAATCTGTTCAGTAGTTTTCGAGATTACCGCGTACAAAGAATCTCGACTTTCCTTTATACTATGTATAGATATACATTTTATTAAAATAGCTGCTATAACTTCTACCGCTTAGACTTGGTTGGTTTTTCAATTTTTCCTAATAAACAATCGTGGTACAAAGCTCAATAAAAATATTAAAAATAAAATGTTAATAAGCCACAATAACATTGACAAATACAAATTTTTTGTTTTAATCAACATACATTACATGGCAAATTTTTAGTTTATTTAAAGAATAATTGCCTCTTTTGTGCCCAAAAAGTGTTGAGAAAATAGAAGGCATATTTCAATTTATGAGAAGTCAAAGCAAATGCAAATCAAGCAGTTCTAACACCTTCGAATAACTGATTTCAAAACACTCATGCTTGAAATACAATACCGGCGAACGGCAAACTTCGCCGAATTGGGCGATGCTGTCGTTCACCGTTCGCCCAACTATTTCGCCTACTTAAACAGAATTAGAGCGGTATTGAAAACAGCTGATCCCATTTGGTCGCCTTTATAATTTGGGTGACCATATTTAGAAAAAACTAAACCATATTTAGAAATGAGGAAATGATAACAAATATAAATGTAAAACAAAGAAAGATTATTATAAATAATTTGTTTCAAGCCAGATTTAACGAATCCACAACTATATTTTTCAAACAACAAAAAAAAAATCGTGTTTAGGTTGTTTTCTTTTTAAACTTTGAAAGCACAAAACAAATACGGCCACCTTTGGCACGCACAGCTGTCATCGCCCAGCAGAGCGATAGAAATAAATCTATCGCCATGAAACGCCGCCAAGCGAACTTCGCATTTCGCTTTGGCTGTGTTCAATTTCATATGCTTGCGGGTGTTCTAATTTTGACAGCGCGAATTTCGCTGTGGTGAGTTCGCCGTTCGCCGGCATTGTATTTCAGCTATCATTTGGGTTCAATGTACATATCGTCAGAGAACGTTTATAACTGAGAAGGCGCATTTTCTCTGTGAACTAATTTCTGCCAGAAATTTTGGGGTGCAGTCGGCCAAATATACCACACGTCGACGAGTGCACCACTCGACCGACGGTGTCGGTAGAGAAGTGTCGGCTGCCACCATACCAAAAATTTTTCCGTGCCACCACACTTTGAGCAAATTTACCATAGTTCAAAGCAAAATGAAAAAATAAGAACGAAAAAGGAAAGAGGAACAGAAATATAATAAGCACTAGCAGAGAACTTAGATAGATAGAGAAGGTGCAAATTTTTGGAACGTAAAATTGTTTGGCTGAAAAATAAATCCATGGAATATCACCACAGCGCGATTAACATTTTAAGAAGAGTTAACAGAGAAAAATGTAAATTTCTGTTATGATAATGTAATATTTGTTGCAAGTGTCTGGCTATGTGTTGCTAGGTTGCAGGTGAATGCAGAAACGTATTCATGTATATTTTTTTTATAAAATTAAATTAATATAGTTAAATTATATTAAATGTACTTTTATATTAGTTAGAATTGCTGATTTGCATTTCTGCATAACCATTTGTTAAATATAATTTATTCAGTAGTTAATGTTGCTAAAAACTTAAAAAGCATCTGTTCAAGTTCGCTTCTTGTACGAGTATTATATTATGTAAATAGTAAAAATGCATGTTAGTTAAAAAAATGATAAAATTGGTTTTTTCACATACTCACTTTAAAGATGAACGCATTAACAAAAAAATGTATAAAGCAATGTGTTTGTTAACTTCAAAGTTGTTTTTGACTTTTACTGCAATACTCGTAGATATTATTTGTAAATAATAGTTCTGGAGTCAAATGCAAATCCATTTCCCAGGCATGCGCATATGGATACTTGTAGTACATACAGATGCGATCAACTAATTAGCAACGAAATTCAAAATGATATTGTTTGCAAATTATGTTTATTTATTTATTTTTAATAATTTCCTTTAAAACATAATTCAATCTATAACAGAAACCACAATAATAAAAGTTTAAAAGCTTGCACAATTTGCAAAATAATTAATCAAACTTCAAAAAATTGTTACAAAAATTTAAAAATTTTTAGTTAGAATATTTAGAAAATTTTCGGGTATGCAGCTTTGTATTGTAGTCCATTCAATCAAGTACACTAAAGTCCAAGTTTCAAGTTGTTAAAGATTACCGTTGATTTCTTAGAATTTTTTTTTGTGGAGGGTGTTCGCATTTTCTTCCATATAACACATAAACCAATTTTTTTTTGTATGAAAAATAAACAGCAACACCCCAACAAAAAAACCTAAAAAATCAACGGTAATTTTTAACAACTTGAAACTTGCACTTTCTTATAATATAATTGAATGGACTACAATACTGCATACCCGAAAATATATTAAATATTCAAATAAAAAATTTGGATGACCATTTCTTGAAGGTTGATTCATTTTTTTGAAATTTGTGCAAGCTTTTAAACTTTTATTATTGTGGTTTCTGTTCCAGATTGAATTATATTTTAAATGAAAATCATTAAAAATAAATAAACATAATTTGTTGATGCCATCTGAATGTATGTATGTATGTACTTACATATGTTAATATGTACCCCATACCAGAGAACTTAGATAGATAGAGAAGGTGCAAATTTTTGGAACGTAAA